CAATGGGAGAGGCCACAACAGTGAGAGGCCCGCGTACCACACACACACACAAAAAAAACAGCAGTAACAGCAGTGAAGTTCCAGGGTTTAGAGGGAAGCTGGCTCTCTGCATGTACTTATTCATTTATTCAACAAACCCTAATAAGAACCCCTCTACTGCCAGTCACTGTAGGAAGCACTGGCGATATAAAAGTGAATTAGACATAGTGCCTGATCTTAAGAACTCTCTTAGGAGTGGCCATGTTTGTGACTGGTTATAATACCAAGTGGTTTATTTATATTTGCTGTAAAATGCTTTACAGATTCTTTGTTTACATCACCCAGCTTTTCTTTTTATTCCATTCATTCCATTTGTCATATTACATAGCCTCATTCTTACTTTTACTTATTAATTTTCCTACATTTGTTTTTGAATCTTATATTCCAGGATTATAGTGTTACCTATGGCCACTGTCCAGAAATCACAGTATACACAAGCTGCTGCTACTTTCCTAGTGCAGCACAACTCCCTTCATTGTGGGCAGAAAATAAAAAATCTCTTCTTAGCATGTTGGTGGAGGTGAGTCTTTCCATTTTAACTAGAAGCGAACTTCCAGGAATATGGTCAATGAAAACCCTTATCAAAATATTTTCTTAATCTTCTACCAAAATTTTGTATTGTTTATTTTAAATGTATGTAGAAAGGAGAGTTTTGTTCATTTTTTATTGCCTAAATAGGTGCCATGAGTTCGCATATCTGATGTATATTGAGGTAATTTAACCCTGTGAGATGCTGCAGGTTCTTCCATTTGAGTATCACACGGAGTTCCTCGAGACAGTGTCCTGTGGTGGGAAGTAAAGCATTCAAGATGTTGGAAGACTTGGGTTCAAACATTTTAGGCTTTGACTCTATCAGAGGCCTCTCTCCCCTTATTTCCATCTCTGTGCCTCTGAAGCAGTGAATGAGTAGCAAACAAGGTCAGAGTCAGTGGGGAGGGACGAATAAGCTAGACTTACAGAGGGTTTTGTTGTTCTGTTTGTTTTTGTCAGGCCTCAAGTTATGGCCTCTAGAATATCTGGCATTATGAAAACATAAATTTATATCTTAAACATTTATTTTTTTAAGGTTCACAAGGGAGTTCATGGATTTGTTAAAGATAAGACTGGAAAACCAATCTCTAAAGCAGTCATTGTGCTCAATGAAGGAATAAAAGTACACACAAAAGAGGGAGGTTATTTCCATGTACTGTTAGCCCCAGGTGTCCATAACATCAATGCCATTGCCGATGGGTATCAGCAACAACATTCCCAGGTAAGAAACTCAACTTGAGTGGTCTCATGTAAATCTTTATTATTAATAATACTTACATTTAATTTGAAACTCTTGTTAGAAAGCTTGTGGGGAATAAGGAAAAATGTGACCACTTCTTGATTATGGTATCTTGTTATCTTTCTATCCTTTAGCAACAAAAGGGAAATTGTTGTAGCATTTTGTGTACTTTAGATGACAATGAACCATCTCCTTGGTTTGCTATAAAGGCCCTAGGAATATAGCAGGGATACAATATACCTTAGGTAAACTTTTTCCTAATTCTTGCACTTTATCTTCCTAGGTCTTTGTGCATCATGATGCAGCCAGTTCTGTGGTAATAGTCTTTGACACAGATAACCGGATATTTGGTTTGCCAAGGGAGCTTGTGGTAACTGTCTCAGGTAAAAAAATTTAAATTTTCAGTAGTTGAAGTTAAAACCAATCCTGACATTTCAATTTGAGAGTGGATCACCTCCATAATTACCCGAAAATAATCACTTTTCTTCTAACGTCTCCTATCTAAACATGACTTTCCTGGAACACTGTTTTCTCATATGTTCTCATGGCTTGCCCCATCACATTTTCAGGTCTGTACTCAAATGTCACCTCCACAGAGAGGCCTTCCCTGATCACCCTAGCTGAAATAATACCCCTGTCACTATCTCACCGCCGCTTGTTTCTATTAAAGCACTTATCACTACCTGCCGTTACATTATGTATTAGTCATCTATTTGTCTGTATTCGATCTCTCCTACTAAAACATAAACTCTGAGAGGACAGGGATTTCATCTGCCTCCCAGTGCCTAGAACCATAGGTTGGCACGTAGTGGGTCCTAATGAAGAGTTGTTGATTGAATGAATGATTTGCTTTATACTAAGATCATAAGTCCCTTGGACTTTGACTTATATTAGTTCTATTTTTTCCATGATCCTGGAAGGAGGGAATATTTGTTTTCTCCATGCTTAATGTGTGCCATTGCTTGAATCACTGAAAGTTTAGAAAGAAAAAATGTGGTAAAATAATAAATACTCTGCTGTATTGTATCTTTTGACACAAAGAACCTTGGTTCATTTCTAAGTACAACTTGGACCTGATGCAAAATAACCAAGTTTTATTACAGGGTGTGTTGGGGAGAGATCCTTAGTTGAGAGAGAGTGGTATACTGGGAAACATGGTCAAATCATAGAGCCTGTTGTGGGGTGTTTATGGTACAGTTCTTAACTTGAATCGGATAAAGCATAAATCACTAAGTGCTTAGAAACATAGGAGCCGGGATTCAGTTTAAATCTGGCTCTGCCACTCATTTGCTGTTGTGAACTTAATTTTTTTTTTTAATATTTGGCTGTGCCGGGTCTTAGTTGCAGTACCCAGAGTCTTCGTTGTCGCGTGCGGGATCTTTAGTTGGGGCATGTGGGATCTTTAGTTGTGGCATGCATGCAGGATCTAGTTCCCTGACCAGGGATCGAACCTGGGCCCCCTGCACTGGGAGCCTGGAGTCTTAACTACTGGACCACCAGGGAAGTCCCATGAACTTAATTTTTATTATGATTTTATTGGTATTATTTTCTGTTACTTAGACTGTTACTCTGATAACCTTATGTAAAAATATTTTAAATAAATGAGGGATTTGGGATGAGATGAAAATTTACCAGAAAGGAAAAGTGGAAGTCATTGATTGATGAAAAGCAGGTTACACAACAGTAGACACAGTTTGATTTCATTATGGTAAAAGAAAAAATATGTGTACATACACACACGTGAAGGAAAATCCAGAAAAAATATGCCCTAGGGCTGTTAAAAATGACCTCGGGGTAATGGAGATGTGAAGTGGAGTTTGGGGTATGGGTTTTTAGTATTTTGCTTATCTGTATTTTTCTAATTTTGCACATGATACGTGTACTACTTCTGTAATTAAAAAGGTTGTTTTTAAGTGAATGAAAATAAAATAAAATAAATGAAGGGCATAATATAAAAAGTGCTATTTTAAGCAGCTGCTTATTTATATTCTTCAACTAGAACACCACTCACATGATGGTTTTGGTTGACAGGTGCCACCATGTCGGCATTGATCCTAACAGCTTGCATTATTTGGTGCATCTGCTCAATCAAGTCTAACAGACACAAGGATGGCTTTCATCGGCTCAGGCAGCATCATGATGAATATGAAGATGAAATTCGCATGATGTCAACCGGCTCCAAGAAGTCTCTCTTAAGCCATGAGTTCCAGGATGAAACAGACACTGAAGAGGAAACATTATATTCCAGCAAACATTGAAACACACACCTTGCATCTCTCCCAGCATAAGTACCAAGCAAAGTTACAGTTCCTTTTGGGAGACACTGCATCAAGAAGAGAGACTATTTTACTTCTTCAAAGAGCTTTGGGAAGTTAACTTGCTAAATTTGTATTCTCTGTGAATTTGGCTGGCAGTTTTGAACTTCCCCTCCTTAAAGTACTCTTACCTTAAAAAGAAAAAAAATCTGCTTTCTATTTATGCAGAGATGGGACAGCCACTTTGTTTTTCTTCTTAATTTAAGATGAGCTGTTTGGAGCTTATGCTATAACTGAAGAAAGCCAACTAGTGGATGTTGTATTTTGCACACCAGGTGTTTACTAGTGGCTTTAGCTTTTTCTCTTTATTTTAAACGGCCAAAAGAATCCAGAAACATTAAGGCAGGGACAGCAGTCAGAATCTGACATAAAGCTTTAAAAACTCAAGGTTTTTTCAACCTATTGAGGAGTACTTTTCTCTAGTTATTAAATAGCTGGAGTTTCTCTTATTATTCAGGTTTAATGGAGGCTGAATTGATTTTGAAACTTATGTAACATTAGGAAATGATTAAACGGGCTTCCGGATTTGGCTTTCTACCTGTTCCAAGGCTAGAACAGAACTGGTGGGCTGTGCTCTAAGCAGGATTTCACTACCTCTTGTGTAAGGTTTAGCAAAGTTGTAAACATCCCCATTTTAAGGGAGAACTTGTTGACTGTTGTAAAAGATCTCAGTGTCCATTTGCGTAGAGCTGAGAGGGAGATCTAGCAAAAGCTAAAACTCGTGTTGCCTATCTTTTAACTTGGTAAAAACCCACAGGTGCTGTTGCTTTTATCTGTGAAGCACTAGTTTATTCTAGGAATGCCTAATTCTGTGCTATTTCCTAAATTTGAACCTTTTTCTATGTTGTACACTTAGGGTTTTCAGATGACCTGGCAATCGACAAGATCTGAATTCTACTGAAAATACCTGGAAGCGTGGAAGAGACCTACTTGCACATTCTTAACCTACATTTGAACGTAGAATATCTACACTCCTTGTTAGCCCAAGCCAGCACCCTATTATAGCATCCTGTTATTGAAATAGCTTGGCCAACCTTATTCGTAAAGGCCTCTGCGTGTGATTGGGTTCTTTGTCCTAATGTTTCATTTGACAGTCTCTTCTCGATCAACCAATTTTGTTAAAAGTTCAGTTGAAAGCACTTAAATATGGCTCCCTCCATTAAAAAAAAAAAAGTAACACTAGTGAGAAAGTGTTATCTTCAGTGTCAGTGGGGTTACTGCAAAGGCCTAAAAGATTTGCATTTTATTGTGTCTGTCATATCATGCTATTCAATGGAAATGATGCTTTTTGTAAGTATGAGTCTTACCAATGATCTAATGGTTTAATACCTTTGAATGTTTTAATGGCCAAGTTGCTGCTGAACTTGTACTAAATCAGGGGATCAAAAAACTTGCTCTCATCTTTTCAAGTTGTATTCTGTATCCATTAATGTATCTATCATCCCAAAGCCTTCATGTGGAGTGGTTTACCACCCATCTAGGTCATTCAACCAAGTATTGTGAGAAATGTACCCAAAGTGGCTTCATAAACAGAGATTTGGTTTAGCAGGAATAATGAAGTCATGACATTTATTAATGAGTATCTGTGATCTAATTTGGGTGGTTCCAGGTTAAGCCATTCTGGTATTAATCCTGTTATTAACAACTCAAAATTTTGAGCCCTTGCCACCCCACTCTTAGCCCACCACATACACAGAACAGAGTTTGTGGGGTGCTAATACTTAATGAAATATACATGATTTAATTTCTTCTAATAATGCTCTACATTTTCCTTAAGGGGATGATGTGGTGGTATTGCTCTTTGCAGCTTTATTTTTGAGTGCAAAGTCAGAAAACCAACAAAGGGCCTATGAGTGGCTGGCTCTGCTTGGGACATTGCAGGTAGAAATGAAACAAAGTTGACATGACAACCTTTACTTTATTAGCATTGGTCTTCACTAGAGGATGCCTTTTAAATTCATCTCTGTCTTAAATTAAACATGTCTTTCACTGTACATCACAGTGGCTGGAGTCCATGCCTTTTAAGCATGTGTAAACTATTTTTAGAGATGAACATACAAATAGTTCTTTTAATAATTTTTCCTGAAAGGAAAACCAAATTCTGCTATGAATCTTGAATCTCTAATGAATTTCTAAATAATGCATTGCTCTGGAAAACAAGGCCGTCTCAGCCTATGTTACCTGTTAACATGAATGTACAGGGTAATGACTACTAAGACTGTGTTCTCTGCCCTGCTTTGTCTTTTATTTGTGGATCTAATCTAATATGAGACCACATCAACTGCTTAAGGCGTTGAAGCCATATGGCATGGGGAATGCATTTCTTCAGTATTTCTCCTAGAGACTTTCCATTTCCTTGGAGTCATGGAGGCAAGTAAGTATCACAGTATTAAGAAATTTTCCCAAGCCTGAGTTGTGCCTTTCTTTACTCACAAGACTTTTTTTTTTGTCCTGGTGATCAGTTTGTAAGCCTTCTTCCCTCCCAGCTCCTTAATAAAAGCAAAGTGATTGAGTAGGTAATGTTCAAAGTGTCTGCCTATGTAAATGCACTTGTACTGATTATGCAGTTCAATAAGATGAACTCAAGTTAATTTCAGAAGGAAAGACCCTTTAGTTTTGATGTATTTTGCTGAACATTTGAGTAGTAGTTGGGATCCCATCCAGTTAAGGAACGCTTGCAATTCTCTTTGGAGGGAATGTGCTTTGGGACTTTGTCATCCTCCAGAAAGGAAACGTAATGTATATTTGGCCCAGTATGATTGATTGGTTAATCTTTGGTAACTTTCACCTGAATGGGATTTGCTGCATTAATGAATATTGAACTTAAAACTAATTATGAGTTGACAAATAAATAAAAGGTAGTGCTTATGCCTGAGCTTATTGTTTCTGAGCTAACACCAGGTTACTCAGTAACCAGGACCTGTTCTTCTATTTCCATTTATTCTCAGCAGTAAATCATTTTATTTTCTTGTGGCCTGAAGTGCACTTGTGCCAGGTTTTGTCCTTGCTGTATTAAAAGCTTCTTGGCTATGAATGCTGTAATAGTGCCCTATGTTATGGCTCTCTGGTGGAATTGTTTTTAACAGTAGCAACTTTCATGTTACTACAAAAAAGTCCACTATGGTTGATGTTCAGTGATCTTCTATATAGCAAATTTTTGATAAGTATTTGGTTTCTGATTTGCTTTAATTGAAGCAGATTTGGGGGGGGGTGATTAGAGCCCTTGATTAATGTCAGCTGAACTTGGATTTCCAGTTCACGCAGAAATGTTTCCCAACATCCAGTCCTCCTATTTTTAGCAATAATTCATTAATATTCCACTTGACTTTCAGAATATTATCCTAGTTGATTTCCATTTGGCAGAATCTATTGTGAAATTTGAAAATAGGCTACCATTTTGAGGCATTTGGATATAAATTATATAAATATGTATGATTATGGCTTTTACAAATGGCATAACATGAGTATACTAGCTACCTTCTATGCTGGCCATACTGCAGACTTTCTGGAGGTATGCCATAATGGTATTTTTTTACACACAGATTAAAAATCAACTTTTCACCTCCCCATTTTTTCAGAGTGACATTCCCCAGCTCCAGAACAATCTATAGCTATTTATATGAGGTGCCCAAAACTCATTCATCTCAAGTGCTTCAGTCTTTGGTTCATTTTCATGCACTGTGCCTTCAAAATGAAATTTTTAAAAGGGACTTTAAACAAAGTTGAATAGTAGTTTTAAAAAGTCAATCTGTGTAATTTATGTGAAATCTAAATGTAATGAGGGCCTTTCTGTTTTTGTATGTAAACAGATCTACTAATCCTGTATAAAAGTTATTTTATGATGTTTGTCTTTCTTTGTGTTTTGTCTCATAATCTTTTTTCAAAAGCAATAGACCAGAAAAAGTTACCGTTCCAATTCGAAAGTTATGGATTTAGTTTTTCTACCTATATGAGGGGAAAAATAGTCCCAGGCAAGGAATACGGGTTGTTAGCTGCAGAGTGTTTCTGTCTTCATGAATTGACTTAAAATAAAACTATGTTTCTGGAATAATTACATAGTAGCCACAGCTCAGCTAGATTGATATGTGTCCAGTCATTCCACAATGAACATAATAAAAGTGGCCATTGAAAGGTTTATGTACCCATTTCAAGGTTGTTTCTTTAAAATTTGGTTCTTCTTACAGATGAGCCAAGTTAGAGTTATGTGTCCTGGCATTTTTAGGCACAGTGGCAATGAATTTAATATCCCCTTTTCATTTAGCAAGAACTTGTTGATACTGCTGCTCTAATAGGAATTGGGAAAACAGTTATATAAAAAACATGGGCTCTGCTGACAAGGAATTCATACTCCAGACCAGAAAAATAGAAATGGAAATAAGCTGTACTTCTATAGTGACTGGTTCCTCTGAAAAGAAGGTCTGCTATAGAGGAATTACAGCATAGAGATCTGAGCATGGACTTTGGAGTTGAACCAATCTCAGACTGACTCTTGGCTCTGCTCTTGCTTCCTGTGTGACTTAGTTTTGTATAAGCTTCTGAACATTCTCTGAGTCTTAGTTTCTCTACTGGTTAAGGAATAATACCTGAAAGGATTGTAGCGGGAATTAAGCGAAATGATGTTAGCAAAGGGCCCAACATAATATTTGACTCAGAATTGAATTACCATGGTAACCAGCATCATTTGCTGTTTTCTGATCCCTGTGAAAGAAAGTTATTTTATCAAATATATGAACAAAGATCTGTTTACAGGTGGCCTTTTAAATGTAGAAGAAATCCCTAGACATGAATACTAAAAATGAAATAAAAGTTTCCATTATGTGGTTCCATAAATTGTCTATAGCATGGCAGTAAAGTTTTAAATTGTGCCAAATGCTTCACATTTGTTTTTAAATAAAATTAGATTATATTTATGCTTATTCAGTGAAAACAGCCTTACTTAAGTGCTGTGAGAAATATGAACCATAAAGATGGCTCTTTTTCCCCCAGAGTTTGAAATATTTTCCTGAATTTTTGTCTGGAGTTTTCTCATAACTCAATCAAGAAACTTTTGGTTTGTGTTATAAATAGTGACCTACTGATTATGTTCAGTTTTTCAGATTTCTAGAATCTGATTGTTCTCAGCAAAGTAAACACGAATGCTCAGTGCTAATGCACTACTCAGTTATGAATAAATGCTATCATGTAGGTCTTCGCCTCTTACTCTCACTTGCAGTTAGAATGCCAACTGATGCTATGCTGTTTACAAGCCTCAGATAAATACACCATTAACTCCCAATTCAAAACCAATGAAATCAGCCTATAAAGCCAAATTTTAACTTTAGTATCACAATTTCCACCTACATTAATCAGTAGAATGTTAAAAGCAAGCATGTTATTTGGCATTGTGCCTGGAATCCTATTCTCTATCACTGTGTAAACAAATGTCAACGAGGCAAGCAAGAATTAGAGTAGAAAGTCATTCAAGTTTAGAGGCCAGCCTGGAAAAAGCTTGAAAGCAGAAGGGTGAGAAGCTTGATTAGATTGAAAAATGTGATAATTGGAAGTGGGAGTATATAGAGATGGATGCCTCAGATTCAGCTAAGACAGTTTATTGATTCAATTAGAAGCCATATGAAGAGATTTTGATATAGTCAGAGCTGTAGGTGGAAAATAAAAGGAGTAGGAGGAGAAATTTAAGATAGAACATGTAGAAGGAGATTATGGATTAAATAGAAATTGTTTTAACATGGATTATATTCTGGAATTGTCATTGAGGTTGAGCCAAAGTGAAAGAATCACAGGGAAGGTCTAGATTGCTAGATCTGAACCACTAGTAATTTCGAGTATTTGCAGTTATTGCAATATTTATAAGTATTATCATCACTTATTTTTGTATGATTCCTATTAGAGTTTCTCAAGATCAACCAACTTCTGATTTGGTGTTTGAAAGATGGCAGGTGCCCAGAAAAATTGATCCTGAAGATAGTTAGGGAATGGGATAGATGGGGAGTGGGTATATTATGGTAATAGCTGAATTGGATGACTGCTAGATTTTAAAAATAGTTTAGAAGATTTCGATTTCCCGAAAAGTTTTGAAGATAATATAGAATTGGCTGCTGGACTTTTATTTGGAGGGTGTGGGTGTTGGGAGGGCAGAAGAGAAAGGCTTGTACAGTTTGCTATTCAGCGGGGCTTGAATGGAACACATTTGAAAAGGAGTGGGCATAGGAGGGAATGTCTAGAACCTAGTCAGGTATGTAGAGCCTGGGTAGTCCAGGTGTCAAGCCACGTGGGACTACTGCTAGTTCAACTCAGATCTTCTCTAGCGGAAGGTATCTCCGTCCTAGATTTGGAGATCTCACTATTTTTCAAGAGCAATGACCAAACATGGAAAAAGATAACTAAGCATGTAGAGAAATAAGACACCACCAGTAAAAAAAAAAGCAGAAAAAGCTCACCAGCTTCAGATGATGACATTATCAAACACTGTAAAGCAAATAAACTTACTGTTTTCAAAGAAATAAAAGATAAACCTGAGACTATCACAGGTAAAATAATAGAACTTCTAG